GGAAAGGAGCTTGACTTTCTCTGCTTCGGGCGACTACCTGCCGTCTTCGCATCATGCGAATGACGATGTGCAACCCAATTTCAGGCAGCATTTTCTAGCTGGTTTTCAGTGCCCCTTTTAAAATTTGTACCTTTTCTTGGAACACTCATTGCTGGCTTTTTAGCTACTTGACTAGCTTTGTTATTACTCAGTGCAAACGAAAGGACAGTTGCTCCCTCGCCTGAGAAGCCTTCTCATCCAGCGCAATTAAGTAGCGGCGCGCCGCAGGGAAACCAGTGAGGACACGAGCTTTTCTAGCTGATAGCTGCTGTTAAAGAGATTCACTGCTTTACAGCTCATATGTGCAAAAATAGTTGAAATGTTGTCTTCGAGCTATCCCATAAAAAAATTCCACGTTTCTTTACATAAAATGTAGATGTACATGAGAGCTAAGCTCAAATTCGCAGGATCGCGCACAAATAAGGAACATCCTCCGATAATTCAAACTTTTATCTTGTTGGTTTCCGACTTAAAATTTTCACCTATTAGTACTTAAAGCACAGGCGAACATGAAAGCTGATTGTGTACTGCACAATGACAAGGACCATTATACTAAATTTTCAGTTTTTTAACCCATCCTGCTCCCGAGGTAAAAAACTCCTTGCCAAAACTTTTGCAAGTCCATGCATGAAACCTAGGCGTATGGCGCAGACGAGCAGGAAACATCCTCCTAAAATCACACGGCCACCTCGTCATACATATTTTTCACGTAAAATGCACGGTGTAGATCCAGGCCAGTTCAGTACCTCACAGCTTTATTTAATTTCAATGTAAACTAACTTCGCCGTTGTGCCTGCCAATAATCATGAAAAGCTGCCCTTCGGAGTCTTCCGCAACCAGCATACTAGAGCACGGAATTTCCATCCTTTTGCTTAACAAGAGATCGGCACTGACACCTGGAGTACTGTCATGGACATGTCCTCCGCTTACAACTTGACTTGTCTCACTCGAATGCGCCATTCCAGTGTGAACTGTTGTGTTGGTTGTTCTGTAAACTGGATGATACTGAAAGTTCACTTAGCCCGCTCGCTGCGCTTTGAAACCGACAAGAGAGTAACCGCAAAACAACTGCGGGAAT